GAGAAGACTATAGATGCACCTAGGGAAACAAACATTTCCCTCTGTTCTTTAGAGAATTGACTGGTGCCTTCCCTGAAGGAAACATGAGCTGGGCTTAGGGAGGTTTAACAAATATTAAGGGGAAGAAAAACCCTTCATATTTCAATCTGCAGCTCAGTTATGCAAATGCATAAAGATACAGGCCATATAAGGTGCCTGCCTCTGTGCCTGTGTTTTGTGTATCTGCATGTATGCACACATACATGTCTGCATGCATCTGCGTATGTATGTATACAGGTGTTCTGTGTGTGTGTGTGTGCACGTGTGTGTGCTCAGGACTCAGGCACAGCGAGTGAGCGCACTTTTCACCCAGAAGAGAATCCCAGGCTGATATGTACCCCAGCGCTGACATTCACCAGCTTTGGCATCTTGGGCAAGTCCTCACATTGTTTTCCTGAATCTCACTCTCCTTATCTATCAAATGGCATGTGTAATACTACAAAACAAAAAGGTCAACCAGTGTTTTTAGTCACCTAGCCTTTTTAGTAATTAAACTGAATTGACTGCCTTTCCACAAAATTTGGTTCTATTTTATCGTAGAATATTCAAGAAGTTTGCCTCTCAAATAACCAACTGTGCTATCCCAATGCACAGACAGTCCTTGTGAAAATACGCGGTGCCTTGATCAATCCTTATAGCAACTCCATGAGTGAGGAACAGTTTTCTCCACTTTACACACGAGGGGACTGAGATTTAGAGGGGAAGGAATCTGCCTAGAGTCACCCAGGGAGTTTTTGGAGGTCTGGGACACAAATCCACATCTTACTCCAAAGCCAGGCTTGCCATCACTCTGTCCTTCACCTCACCACCGCCCAAGGTTGCTGGAAAGAACAACAGTGTGCTGGCTGTGGAACGGGCACTGGCATCCTGGTTCTCTTTACCCAGCTAACCTTTGCCCTCTTCCCTGAAACATCTGTTTCTCCCTCCTAGCCCAGCTGGTCCACAGTTTCTTAAAGCCAACCCTCCATTCTGCCCTAGCCGAGACACTAGAAAGATGGCGGCACTGGGGGAAATTCAAACCAGACACACAGTGAGTGCTGGCTTCCCTTGGAAATACATCGGCTGCCACATCTTAAAGCACCCGATTGGGCTTCCCTGGTGGCGCAGTGGATGAGGGTTCGCCTGCCGATGCAGGGGACGCGGGTTCGTGCCCCGGTCCGGGAAGATCCCACATGGCACGGAGCGGCTGCGCCCGTGAGCCATGGCCGCTGAGCCTGCGCGTCCGGAGCCTGTGCTCTGCAACGGGAGAGGCCACAACAGTGAGAGGCCCGCGTACCGCAAAAAAAAAAAAAAAAGCACCTGATGGTACTAGACTTGCCTTGTAAATTTCTGACAGGCATTTCACTGCTGCAGGCTACCGCTCCTGGTGTTCTACGCAGGGAAAGACAGAAGGAGAACTGCCAGGACATGACTATATAATCCCTTCCTAATCCCTTGAGTCTCGTAAGTCCTTTAACTCTTCAAATATTGAACTATAAGAACTTGGTTTACAGAAACATTATGGTCATAGGAGGCCCAGGGACTGAGCTATGAAATTCAGAGAAGACAGGAGGACCAAAAGACAGCCAGGGGGTTACCTTGAAATTAGCTTAAATATAATCAGTGGGAAACAGAAGCAAAATCCTATTTATAAAATTATTACTTTTGCTTAGCAAGATAGATCGTCTCAATTTTGCACAGAAAATTGCACAGGAAAAAGCCTCCCAGTAGAGACATTTAAAAGCAATTTAACATTTTTAATAAGGCAACTGTTTCTGATTCTCAACTATTTAGCCATGAAATCTTAAAATCCAATGAAAGTCTGTTTTCAAGAAATACTGCTTTACAAATTGTATTGTCTACTTAAAAACCCAAGAATAGTAACATTCTTTAGAGACTTAAATTTAATCGTAATGACAACAACTAAGCTTCCTAACTGCCCTTCATGTAATTTAATGGCTATAAGCTATGGGTTTGCTTCTCTGATATTTTGTCTCAAAATTGTAAAGAAGATCAATTTTACCCAGCAGCCTGCAAATTTCTGAGCCATTTTGTCTTGTTCCCAAGCAGTCACTTAGAAACATAAAACAGAATATATTGCATGATCAATAAGAACCTTTGAGAGGTTTGGCATTTCATTCATGAACCGTTCTTCAAAGGATCTGAGTGGGAGTTACTCCCATCATGTAAGTGCTGAAACCATGGCACCAGGAGAGGTGACAAGGCCAGCGTCACTCCATGAGCCAGATGGGAGGAGCAATTTTCCTCACTTGGAAATGTCTCGCTCTTAAGGGCAGTGGACAGCACATTGGACTAGTATTTGGTAGATCAGGGCTCTGGGCTATACCTTCCAAAGGCAAGTTGCCTTGCTGAGGCTCAGATTCTTCCTCCAGAAGGTCAGGATGATCATAATACTGACCTCATGAGATTTCGAGAGCATTTGATTCAACATAAGAAAGTACTGGCCAACCAAAATCTTCCCCTTTAAAGTAAGAACGTCTTAGCATCTTTAGAGTTGTTTCTCTGTATACCTATTCTAACCAGGAGCAAATACACAACTTTGTTTGTAGCATAATCACTCTTGCTGTTTAAAACCACCCTGTTCCATTGCCATAGACTGGACATAAAATGTTTACCTTGGTCCCTGAAAGTTATAAAAATGTGTGAATGAACCAACACAAACCACTCCACGGCTAGAAAAGCAAATTCAGCAACGACGTGTCTATGGATGGCGTCTTTTTGGCTACCATCCAATGCAGCCTCTATGCACACTTCCTGTCTCCCTCCATGGCTTTGTTGTTCTCCATGACTAGCTCACCATCGTACAGACACCTTATTTGACTTCTTGCTTATTTTACTTATTTGCTGTCTCCTGCAATTAGATGGTAAGCTTCATGCAGGGTTATTTGTCTTTTTCATTCACTGCCATATCCTTCTCAGCAAGAACAATGAATGATTGACATATAGAAAAATGAATGAATGAGGTCCAGCTCGTGACCATCATACAAATACTCATATATCTGCAGTCAAAGGAAACCTGGAAACTATTAGAAATGGTCTGTTAAGGCTTATGCTGCTTTTAGTGTTTCAATTCTAGTATGTCAAGGCCCATAAAATAATTTGTTTTTTTTTTTTTTTTTTTTTTTAGTACGCGGGCCCCTCACTGCTTTTGCCTCTCCCGTTGTGGAGCACAGGCTCTGGACGCGCAGGCTCAGCGGCCGTGGCTCACAGGCCAAGCCGCTCCGTGGCATGTGGGATCCTCCCGGATCGGGGCACGAACCCGCGTCCCCGGCATCGGCAGGTGGACTCCCAACCACCACGCCACCAGGGAAGCCCTGGTTATTTTTTAATATTTTCTACCACTGGCCTTGTCAACAGTTTCTTATTCAAGTTATCTTTGTCCCTTTAGTTTTTGTTCTCTCTACGAAGAAGGAATATAGCTCACGCCTCAGGTATTAATCTTAGATTTATAGAAAAAATACAAGCCATAATGAGGGAGTACTATAGACTGAATATTTGTGTCCCTCCCAAATTCATATGTTGAAACCTAATTCTCAATATGATGGTTATATAGAGGTGGGGCCTTTGGAAGATGCTTAGATCATGAGGGCAAAGTCCTCATCAATGGGATTAATGCCCTTATAAAAGAGACCTTGGAGAGCTCCCTCATCCCTTCCCCTATGTGGGGACAGAGTGAGAAGCTTATGAGACAGGAAGCAGGCTCTCACCAGGCGCCAAATCTACCAGGGCCTTCATCTTGGACTTCCAGCCTTTAGAACTGCCAGAAATAAGTTTCTGTAGTTTACAAGTCACCCAGTCTGTGGTATTTTGTCATAGCAGTCCAAAAGGACTGAGACACGGAGTCCCCACCTCCATTAGAACTTATGTGTACATTTCAAATCTACTCCCCTAAGCAATTACTCATCATTTACTGTTCATAAATTTCCACTGTATACTCTATTGCAAGAAACCAAAGTGTGATTATTAACAGCACTAATAATAAACAGGCACAAACGTTTTTTATCACCCTCTGTTCCCACAGTACTTGGGAGATCTGTCAAATTATTCTGTGGCAGATTGGAAAGAGGGAGTTGTGTTAGAAGTCATGACCCAACCGCTAGTGACACTGTTTCCATATTTTCCAGTCTGGGAAACACTAGTTAGAAAATTCTAGTTTTATTCATTAGCTGCAAGAGTAGAAAATGAGCCTGTGGTGATCTTTAAAGAGAAAGAACCAGTGGAAATGAAACAGAAGAACTGAAAACCAGAAAATCCCATGAGAGTGTTGCTTTCCTGAATCGTTGAAAGGGGCTTTCCTCCGCCCCTTTACAATCACACAGAGAGTGGACAAGGTTTGGTGACACAGAAAAGGGATACTTCTTTCTGAATTTAATTTCCTCAAGTGTCTGGCTCCTTGAGTTTGCAACCCTCTTCATTTTATAGGATCTTCCTAAATAAAACTCTGCACTTTGCTTGTATAGGAAGAAACAGAATGTGATTCTGTTTTCACTTCCAGAGCCAGTGCAAACACTTATTTGTTAGATGTTGTTGAAGAGAGTGAAAAATGATGTAGATGATGGTGGTGAAGTGTCTTAAGGTCACCCTGTCCCACCTATGATTTTGATGGTTCCTTTCTGACCTGCACTTCGTCACTTCTCCTGCTCTCAGGGAATTTTCCAGATAAAACTCTGTGATTGGCTATCCACGAGTAAGAGACACAGTAGGCTTTAAATTTATCTTGTCTATTTCCAGAGAGAAAGACGCAATGTAGACAGAGAAGGATGTCCTGTTTGAAGACATTTGCTTCATCTTAGAAAGTCTAAATTCGTCCCCAAAATGTGCATATACATTACAAATACATTTATTTCTCTTTTAATTTTATCATGGAGAGTCTTTGGTGCTTTGACCTAGACCAAGTGGTGACGGCAGGAAAAGAAAGCTTGGGACATTATCATTTATAATATGCAGAGAAAAGCACTCACCAGCGCTGACAGTGATCGCTTCGATAAACTGCTCTCTCCAGCTGTTTGTCCCAACCACGAGGGCTAGGTTTGTCTTCTTAATAAGTTTGTCCACGGTACTCTAGAGAGGTTGAAAAGAATCAGAAAATAATTGTCGGGTTGGTTAAGGCCTCGGGAAATCTCAGACCTTGATGATTTTAAAACCCCCGAGTTATCTAAAGGGTAGCAGGTGTTAGGCTCAGAGCAACAGTATTGACATCAAACGCTGTTACGATTATGCAAACAAGCATCGTCCTTTCTTGGAAACATCCTGAAATGGAAACTTCTTCATAGCAAATACAAGCCTCCTTCACTGCCTAATAGCCAAGGAAGAAGAGCCTCACCGGTTACAACTGAGGATGTTGCAAAAGCCCATCCCTTCCCCTCGGACGCTTCATGAACTTGCTTCTCTCCTGGCTTCATCTAGAGTATGTGTCTGCAACTGAATTAACCTAGGCCCTGCTCAGCACTACCTATCGGTGGATAACTGGAAGTGGCAGAGAGATTACGAAACTAAAACCTGTTCTTACTATACTTTTGTTGATCAATGAAATGCAGCCAGACAGCAGAGCCTCAAGGCTGCTGCTGTATGATCATTAATAAATGGATTTTTCTTTGGCTACTGGTTTTGTCAGCCTGGTGGCTGGTAGAGAATTCATCTCACCTGACTCCTGCGGCAAACAAGAAAAGACAAAAACGGTCCATTTGTATGGTTCAGGGCAAACTGCAATGACCTTGCACTGAATCTCCCCCTGCTTTACTAGCTCTGAGCCTCTTATTTTTCTTTTTCTTTAAGACCTTGTTTAGGCACTTGCTTCTGTACAATTAGCACTCTTAGCTTTCCAAATGAATGTCAGTTCATGGAACCGCAGAAGCAGTCAAGCGTTCACAAGAAAACTAAGTGAGCAGATGCACCCAAAGTGCTACCACAAATCACAGCAATTACAGGGAGAAGGGTCACTTCCGGAACGGGGAGCTGTTCTTCCCAGAGAGACGACCACACCGACTTGTCCACGACATGCCCCACCCTTACTGTCAGAGCATCCTCGAATTCCCACTTATTGCAAAGAGTCAGAAAACACGTATTATGTGTCTTAGGTCAAAATCTGTACATGTTTAGTGCAGTGTCCCTGAATTGACTAAGGGTTGAGAGAGCGTGTTATTAGCTAACCGGGAGGAAGGAAAATGTGATCCCAGGGGCCCGTGCAGAAGGCCAAAGCTACATCAGAATGTCAAGTGTGTTAGTTCAACCGTCACTGCAACTGACTTGAAACACTGAGATGATAATAAACATGAAAGGGCCCATCTCCAACTGGCCCACTCTGTATTTTCAACATCATCCTTTGCTAGACTGTTTGTCCTTATGGTGGTGACGTTTCGGCCTCTAGCTTTGTGTCTAGAACTGCTAGTGCCACTGATAATAGCTGTAACCATCAGGGCTCTTGGCCGCCATAGCCAGAGGCACATGACAAGCATCTGACTTTTCTCTGGACTTGGCCAATCTCATCAAGCACTCTGAGTGTCTCGGTTGATGCCAATTCGAAGTTCCTGTTTTTTTGTTTTTTTTTTTTTTGCGGTACGCGGGCCTCTCACTGTTGTGGCCTCTCCCGTTGTGGAGCACAGGCTCCGGACGCGCAGGCTCAGCGGCCGTGGCCCATGGGCCCAGCCGCTCCGCGGCATGTGGAATCCTCCCGGACCGGGGCACGAACCTGTGTCCCCTGCATCGGCAGGCGGACTCTCAACCACTGTGCCACCAGGGAAGCCCCCGTGTAGAATGTAACAAGAAATAACCTTGACTTTTCCTAAATGTGATGGAAACTTGGGGCAGGTCTCTCCAAGGAAGCCCTCTTTACTCTAAAGCCAAGGCAGAGAATCCCACTTACTGGGGGATAAATAATTGAAGAGTGAAACTGCTCTAACAGTTAAACACAGACTCGCCTCAGAAAATCTCTCTGAAGAACAAAGTTTTAAGATAAACTAAACTTAAAATGTATATTATAAAATGTATATATGTATATATAATGTATATATATAAAACCTCGGGTAGATTGTAAACTTTAGTTCATGATAACCCTGGCAGAATATGAGACAGCCTGGGCTCTTCCCTGGACTTAATTTACATATGTGTCCTCTCTTGACCTATAGGAGGAGAGGAGTGAATAGGAGAGGACCTATAGGAGGAGAGGAGGAATTTGAAATTTGATCCTTGAACTTTGCCAGGGACACTGACCTGGAGGTTTCCTACGTGTCAGTCATTAGGTCTTCACGGTGCTAGTCTGTAGCAATAGTTTTAACCTCACTCTCAGGCATGGGTGTTAGAAACGTCCAGCCCTTGGTCACAACATAGTAAACAAGAACCCAGTGGGCAAAGCAGACTCAGACATTGTGGGGTATCAGCCAGATTTGGGTCTTTAATGCAGTTCTGAGGGCTTTGAACAATTTCTTTAAAACGGCTATGGTCTAGAAAAAATTTCCTAAACAAATAATATGAAATCAACATTGATGCTAGAGGGCACTTCAGAAACATGCCCCAAGGTACCCTTCAGTGTTACCAGTAACTGTCCTGATGAACTTTGAGCAGATGGGAGGAAAACAGTCTATGGAAGATATTCTAGGAAGATAAGTACCCCAAACAACTGGACTTATGGAGAGAGACTTGGTTGACTTTCAAATGCTCGGATCATTGGAGTGGTTACCAGAGAGAGCTTTGGACACAAGAAAACTTTTATGCCTAGAAGACTGTGCCCTGCCATACCCTTCCTACAGGAAGTGACTATGATTTCTCTTCCTGGTCATGGGTGCATGGAAGGGGAGTGCTCGTGGTGGTCCCGTGAGGAAGAGGGCATACAATCATTCCCCATGAGAGTCCTGGGAGGGGTGGGGGACAAGCGTTTACAGAAAATGCCAAGCTGTAGAATCTCTGTTGTCGCAAGTGGCACCACGCCCTCTGGTTCCAGGTGAAAAGAGGGTGCATGACGAAGAGTGAAGATGGAGACGGGAACAGACTGGTCCACAGAAATGGACAGTCTCAGATATCCGTGCCTCAGGAATCTCAGGGAACTTGTGCATATACCAGTCAAGTGTGTGCAGTGAGCCAGGTTCTGGATGAAACGCCAGGTGGGCTCTGATGGTGGGGGTCTGCCTAGAAAGCACTAGTCCCAGGGTCTGCCCTGCTCTTTCTTTCTGTGGGAATGAATGAGAGGAGTTAACACATACATCCACAGTGGCCTGAAGGGGAAAGTTTAATTGTGTTGTTTATCTTTTAAATGCCACTTTAATTTGCAAAGACATTTTTCTTTCCACCTGTCACCTCTCAGGCACCTTCATTTGTGAACTAAATTAGAAAAATACTGAACGGGCCCAGCAAAAGGTAAAGAAGCCACTACTGTGAAAACTCCAGATATGATCCTGAGGCTTTTAGGTTGGTGACCTGATTCTCCCTTTGGGAATTTTCATTCTGGTTTTCCAAACAGGAGCAGAATCTGCTTTAAAAAAAATAAGTGGGGAAAATGCTGCTGTGCTCTGGCTTGTCGTTCGGGAAAACCAGAGAGAGGCTGCTCCTTTTCATGTCCCACTACAGAATGCAGGTGCGGCTCTCCCGGGGGCTTCTAGGTGTGAGGACCACGTGAGTGAAAAGGGATGGGAGCTGGGGCAGGGGCCGAGGGAGCAGCTAAGGGTGGTCCAAAAGGTTCATTTCAAAGTCCTAAGCTCATCCTAAGGCCCATCTGCTTACCTTCTGAAAAATGACTTTCCTCATCTAGAGACCTGGAAATCCAATTTCATCAGCCCAGTTATAAACCCTCCAGTTACGGGCACTCTGCCTTCAGTTTGTTGATTGTGCTCAAGTGTCCTAGGATCTTAAGAAGGTGACTACATGATATACGGGAGCTCGTCAATGGCATGTTCCACAGGGAAAGCTTACCATCCTTCCTCCAAAACAAAAGCCTCATTTTCAGCAGTGTCAAGGCTTTGCTTCTACTAGATTGATTAGCTTTTTCAAACAAAGCACCGTTTCTTCCACACATAACAGTCTCTTGGAATCCATCTTTGCCTCTTCCTTGCTATCCAAAGCCCTCCCTTTAGGGCGCCTCTGACCTTGCACAGTGATGTGTGCCACCCACCAGACCCTGGTTCTGACACCGTTTAGTTTATAGGATCTCTTGTTTCCCTAGCAACTCGCGAATCCCATTTCTGCTCTAAAGGCCTCTCCATCAACGAGCCAGTTCCTGAAATTACATCTGCCTCTCGTACAGCATAGACAGACGCTATGAACCGTCTTGGTGCAGAGATGGGCCTGGCCTCCCTGGTGGGCAATGCTGGTGCGCGTACCTTGAACTCATAGGATTCTTCAATGATCACTTCCAGCCTGGTGTGCTCTCCCAGAATGGGACGCCCCATTTCTGCAATGCGCCTCTCCTCCTCTTCTTTGCTGGTCAGCGGCTGCTTGTCATCGTATTCCTCTGTGAAAGGGAAGGACAAGAGAGTGAGAACGCATTCAAATTTATTTGGAAATCCCTGGATCCTGCTACAAGAAAACCAAGAAGGAAGGAAGCCCTGATGACCTACTGAAAGCCCCTGGGGTGGTGCCGTAAGGCTGGAGGGGAGAATTGGACAGACGCTTGTTGTGTGGGGCAGTGATCACTCTGACGGCAAGTGATCATAATATCCCACAACCTAAGCACCTGCCAAAGGGCAGATCAAGAAGAGCAACCTATAGGGCCATGTCACTGGTAAAGACTCTGTCCACATGTTGTCTGCGTTGAGGGAATCACCCAGCTGTCCCCTGGGACACTGGCTCACCTGGCTGTCTGTACACATCCTTTTAGCACATGACCAAGAGGAAACACAATTAAAGTTCCAGAGCGACTCAAGGAATGTAACTCTGGCCTCCTCTTCTCCACTTTCTAGAGGCAAAGAAAATGGCCCAGGGCCAAAGAGACGATAGATGGGAAATTCTGATCTTAGCCTCTCACTTGCCAAGAGCCCCTGCTGCAAGTTAAGAAGCAAAACATCCACGAATTCCACGGGTCAGTAAGACACCTGCGCTCCAGAGCTGCCTCCCTCTGGTGCAAAGCTGAGATGGGTTGGGAGGACCCTGACCATGTTAACGTTAAAGGAAACAGGGAGAGCGAGGGTGAGGCCTTTGGGAAATTCATACTTACTCACCATGGGGGCATGATTATTTCCGGAACCACCATGTAGCTTACAATCCAGGAGAGGCTAGTGGGTGCTCAGAAAATGCTAATGGACTTGAGAGTCCATTAATGAGGGGAAGCTCACAGTTGGGTCCTCTCTGTGTGAAGGTCATTAGGATAAATCCCAGACTGAAAAGGCCACGCACATGTGAAGGACAAACAGTACTCCTGTAACCACTCAGCCTCCTGTCCTCAGGCTCACGATGCTGGAACAAGACAGGCCACTTCCCCTCACAGTCAAGCTGAATGGACCTCATCTCCAAGGAAGTAGTCTTGGTGGTACAGAAAGACCACAGCCCTGACGCCCTTGCTTCTAGAACCTTCCAGGCAAACTGCCTGCAACGGGAGCCTGTTGACTGAGGAGAGATGAGGAAGGGAGGGACTTCTAGCCCAGACTCCTTGCCTTTTGCATTTAGGCATCAACTATTGCAGGAGTCCACATCTCCCATCTCATCCCACCCATACATGGCTTCCCTCTGCTGAGGGACCCTGCCTTGGTGGCTTCATTTGATGCTCTAGCAAATGATGCAGAAGACTAGTTCCTAGGCCAGTTGTTGATTACTGAGCCATGGAGCAGTTGGGCTAGAGGCACTGCTAGCATTTTACATACGAAGTGTCAAAACCAAGCAAAAGGCAAAAGCAGAAGGTAGCATATCAAAGAATTCTTTATTATGTATTCAATAGTGTCTTCCTAAAAATATATTTCAGAATCTGCTTTCCTACCCCCAGTAATTACAGGGCCCCAAAGAAATTCGAAGAAGACTAAAAATAAGAGATTTTGGACTAGCCAAAGTCTGCTAAGTGTTAGCAGATGCAAAAGAGAGGTGCAAGTAGATTACCTTTAATGGTAAAAGTCATAATATTTCTCAGAGTAGGCTTGGGAAGTTATGACCCAAGGGAAGGCAAAAGTTTTTGATTGGTGTCCCCATGATTTGCCCTTGAAATTAAGTGTGTAGAGTCAAGGGGGTGAGCTGAGGTATGTGAAGTCCCATTTATCCAATGCTCAAACCAATCATATTTTGATTCCCACTGCTTTCTGATCTTAAGCCCAGGAAAATGTTATTAGAGTTTTCGTAGGAGCAGGTTATATTAGTGTCTTTCTTCATAACCCTGGCTGAACATGGATATTTTGGAGACTTAGTCAAATAAGAATTATTTTTCCAGAAGAAAAACTATTACAACTTAGATTTTAATTTGAATTACAAAGCCATTTGGGGGAGAATATTTATTATGTCCCCCTTTTAATAGTTTACTTATAAATGGGAAGTTGCTTTTAATGGCATTCAAGTCAATTTAGGTAAAAAGAATAGAGAAATTATGAAAGAAAGGTGATGCGGTGTGGCATTGTTGAAAGCCGCATCTCACAAAATGAAATGATTTGGAACATGGTATTAAATGAATGGACATGGTAGTAAATGAAACCAAATCACATAGTGAGTGAAAAGGTTATTCCCTTTTTAATCCTCCTTTAGTCCTTATGATGAAGAAGTTTGGTAACTAGTTCTTGACATTAGGGTTTCTACCATTTATGGAAGAGAAAATAGTTTTCAGGCATAGAGCATTTGACTGCATTGAGCTAGAAGTAATAACTTTTTTCATTCTAAAAATTTTAACCTTACTTTCTCTATGTGATAAATACTAGCTTTCTATTAGTGTTAGTAACTTAAAGTTTTTTTTTTTTAAACAAATCTAGTGAAGTAAAAACATGAGGCAAAAAATTGCATGAAGTAAATAATAGCATAGTTGGTATGCGGCCTAAGGAAATATTGTAAAAGAGGTATGCGAAAGAACAAAATTTTAGGAATTAATGTCTTAACAGATTTCATACTAACCTAAAGAAAAGCAGGAACCTTGTTTCTATCACTTTCTACATTCTTGCTCCAAGCTAGACTTGAATTTAATGCCACACTTTATTCCACTGTCTACCCATCTGGAAAACCTTCCCCATTTTCATCTAGCTAAATCCTACTTACCTTTCAAAACCCTACCTCTTCTCGCATGAAATATCCCTCAATTGACCTATTTAGGAATGACCACTCTAACTTTAAATTCTGAATATTTGTTGTGTGTACATATTAAACGTGGACACTTCTAATATACTACTTTTTAATATTTAAACTACCTTTACATACAGATATCCAACGTGTAAACTTACCAAGATAGAACAATATGTCTCATTGCTCTTTGGATTTTCCTCATATCCCTCAGAGCCTATTACTATGTATGGAAAGTAGTAGGTGCCCAATAAGTATTTGTCATGTGACTGTCCAACTCACTGTTAGACAAGCCTCTTCTTTGCTCTATGCATATAGTAAAGACCATTTGTTCATTTCACACGTCATTGCACTCCTACACTATGTCAGCATACTGAGGCCCCTCCCACCCCGCCTCTTTTTCCAGGAACTCATGGTCTAGTGGGAAGTGAGGCATATAGATGGGACAACTTCTAGTACAGCAAGGTAGGGGCTGAAGGTCCAGGGTCAGGGAGTAGCTCCCTCTGACCAAAGGAGTCAGGGAAGGCTTCAGGAAAGAGGAGATATTTGAAATTGGCCTTGAAGCATGTATAGGAGCTTGCCAGGTGAAGGTGGTGGGAAGGCTGGCTAGGAGGTAGTAGAGGAAGGAGGGGCATTCCAGGCAGAAAGAAGTCAAAGCACAAAGGCCTAGTGTCATGGTAGGGTCAGGGATATTTTCACTTAATAAACATCGTGAACATTTAAGAGATAATTATACTTATATGTAACTGAGAGAAGACAGCTGGATAAATCCTTTTATTGCTCTATAATGATACAGATAAATTAATATTTGTGATCCAGATTTTTGAAACTGGCAAAGAAGAGAGCTAAGCTTATTTTTTTAAAGTGACTTCTCTTTAGGTATCTTTTATCGAATAGGAAATCGTTTAACGGCACATGTTTTGATCACCTATTTTTTTTTCACTTTGAGTGCTGGATCAGATGCAGTTCATTTTACTGTGGCCAAGTCAGTCTCATTTCCTTATTTATGCATATGCTGTGCTTTTAGTTCTGCTTCTCAGGTAGAGGAAATTCTCTGTGTAATCCTGTTTATCTGTATATGTACATATATATGTACATATTTTTAAACTCATCATATTTTATTGAGAAGTTGATAATAAATTATATAACATCATGGTCTTAACCAACCAACCCAACTTAAAGATCAAATGCATAATTAACGGCCATGGTTAAAATCAGTATTGACAGGACAGAAAACAATGCTGTGATGAAATCATTGGTAGGGGTCCTCCCTTCCCCTGAGTAATTGATTTTGCAAATGACACATCACAATAGCTAATAGGTACCAGGGATCTGGGAAAAGCAGAATTATGAAAAAGCTGCTGTTAATGCTTTCTTGATCAGGCTGCATTTTGAAGCCTCATCACTGTAAGAGGTGAAGGGCTGAGAACACGAATCTCTATTAGAAAACAATACAACCCACATGGAGATCTGCACCCGAGGAGCTACTGTGGATATTCTTGAATGCATTTGCAATTTTTTGTCTCAACAAACAATGTAAAATTTGGAAATGGGTACAAGGCCAGTGGTGGGACAATTTGCTTGTGGTTATTTTAATCCTTCACTCAGATCTGTGTTGACACGTCTGAGAGCGGAGATCTCTTTTTCAGCACCTGGCTGGTCTGTTTGATTAGAACCTAAAGAGACTGGTACTTTATTTCCATGAGGAATATTCTGGAACAACTCTGCAGTCAGGGCTGCATGATTACTGAATGGGGGTGTGGGATGCGAGAACGAGCAAAGTCTTACTGCGGCAGGCAGAAGTGTTTCTGCAGCCATGACCAGCGATGGGCGATGGTGACAACTGAAGAGTGAGTATCCGTGTCCTTATCCAGAGTCTTGGTAACTTAAGGCAAGGGGCTCACACCCGGGCTCTAATCCTACAGTCGATCTGGGATAGCTTTGTCATCCTTTAGTCACCCTGTCAATGTTCCCCTCTGGAGAAAACCCACAGATGTACTGTCATCTGTGCATATTTGGCTAACATCATGTTGCCTGGCGGAAGGAAAGGCAGACTCTGGGAAGAGAGACAGCTTGCTTTTAAAGACATTTCATGACATTTGCAATGAAAGACCCATGTTGAAGAAGCGAGATTTGCAAGACATCTGGAGTATACTGAAACTTGAGAGGCTGCTGGACTCAATCTTCTCTATAGGCCCATGCTTCCCCCTCCACCATGCGTCCCATCCTGGGCCGATGTGGTGTCTTGTTGCTGACTCATCATACCCCCAACTGCAGAGAAGCCACGGCATTGTGTAGCAATGCTTTAGAGGTAATGGGGGTGAATTGTGTCACTTTAATGTCGAAAGACCGAAAGAACCCTTGAAGGCAATTAAACTGTGGTTTTCAAGGACCGTGATGAAATGAGTACCTGTGATGGTGATTATAGTAGAGGGGATCGGATGTTCTCTAGCATGAACTTTCCTGAAGACAGGTTGGCCTGGCAAAAGGACAGGCAGAAAGTCAGCAGACTGGATTGCACTGGTTTGCCAGAAGAGCTTTGTGGAATTAGTAAGCTGAATGTCACGCCCAGATGCACCCAGTGCAAGCAATGTTAGTTTGGGGACTGAGTGGTCAGAGGTCACTGTTATGTAGGTTGAAGAAGTGAGCAAGTAAATAAATGGGGCAGGTGTTCTAGGAGTCCAATCAGATTGTGTGAATAAAGCACACACCCCACAGCAGGGGTGCAGCCAGATTCCTGCAGGTGTCTGAGATGGAGTATCCATGCCCGTCAAGTTCCTGCTTCCAGAGGCATCACGGAACAATGAAAAGCACTCGGTGTGATGACAGGTAGCCTCGTGGTGCCAACAACATGGCCTTAAGTAGGCCATTTCTCCAGTTACCCCATGTGTGAAATGGAGATAATAGTGCCTGCTCTGTCCATATCACAGGTCTGTGTGAGGGTCAAGGAACATAACATCAGGAAACATGCTTATTTGTTTCCTTGGCAGTCTGAATGGGAGAAGGCTGTACACACTGGCAGGTTTTACAAGGGTTCACCATTGTCACAGTGACTGGCTGGATTACCTAGTTTAGGGTTTTCATGAAACTCCTGGTTCAACTGACTACCTGCTTTTCGCTTCTACCAAGAGATCCTGGAACTGACCTGGAATCATGAGATTGGGATTCTGCAAATTCTGCCATATGCTTTCCATCTAAACTTGGGCAAGGTGTTTCTTTTCTCTGGGATTCAGTTTTCTCAATTGTACAACGAAGGCAAACTTGAAGGGGATTTGTTTCTCTAACCTATATACTGGAGTGACTAAAGTGTGTTTAACTGTCGGAATTTTCATAGCTTGTCTTCCTTAAAAAGCCATGTGCATTATGAAGACTCACGTGATGAGTGTAATATGATTGGAAGAGTAACTTTTATTTATTTATTTATTATTATTATTTTTCTTTTTTTGCGGTACGCGGGCCTCTCACTGTTGTGGCCTCTCCCGCTGCGGAGCACAGGCTCCGGACGTGCAGGCTCAGCGGCCATGGCTCACGGGCCCAGCCGCTCCGCGGCATGTGGGATCTTCCCGGACCGGGGCACGAACCCGTGTCCCCTGCATCGGCAGGCAGACTCTCAACCACTGCGCCACCAGGGAAGCCCCGGGAAGAGTAACTTTTAAAAAGGTATACTGACTGTTACATACTTTTAATTAATTAGGGAACTTTTTTGCTGCCTGTTTGGGGACAGAAACATGCCTCTATCTTTCCAAATTGAGCCAGAATACTTAATTTTGTTAAAAATATCCAAATTAATGTACTCTAGTTTCCCCCTTTTGGGGTCCTCCTCATTTTTCATTTGACTGAAATTCATACTGATGGCATTTCAGAGACATAGCGAGGCTTTGGATCGAAAAGGGATTGAGATGCAGGTAGGAATATACAAGTTGGGAGAAAGGAGCTAAAAGTGCTGGGTTAAAGTAGTCATCACATGGCCTTGGACTTAAAGTTAGAGGGCCGGGCTCTGAGCCCTGGATGGGTGACTGGAGTAGACTGATCATCTTTGAACCTTCATTTCTTCTCCTATAAGTGAGAACAAAAGATCTTATTCCATAAGGTTGAGGATTAAATGATATAATGAATAAGAAATACTTTCCAAATTCTAATGAGCTATAATGTATAGGGGGTTATCATGTTATGTGCCTGGAGGGTCAAGGGGGAATTACATCACAGGTCCCAACAAGGGCCTTTCAGTGAGGCAAAGTCTGAGAGCAACAGGTGAAGATTTGCAAATTCCAAAAGCACCTCCAGCATTTAATGTCCATCACTAATGACACCTCTGAAATAGAGGTACTGGGTTGTGGACCAAATGATTTTTTCGATTTCCATATATCCTGCTTCAACTTTAGATTTTCACACTTAGCTGCACAAGACTGCATAAAAGCTGCAGGCAAAGTCCAAGAGTTAGATTAATTTTCCTTTACTGCCCCTGCGTCTCAAAGCGTTGACTTCAAAGCCTCAAACTGACTTCAAAGAAAAGCTCTCCAGGGCTTACAGCTGGTTTTCACTGTGTAGACCTAAATTTTAGAACTTTCCCCAGAGGCATCTATAGAGAGTGGATCCCAGGCACTCTGGCCTGGTTCTGGAGAAGAAGGATCATGTAAAGTGAGAGGAACAGGCCAATGTGGAAATTCCCAGAGGGTTCTGCAACTTTCTCTCATTTTAACTGCATCAATTTCAGGTTTTGGGAAGAGGTGGTAAAACAGAAAAATTGCTATTGAAGATTAAGGTTCAAGCTATAAGAAAGAGCTTAATGAAGTACATGAAATAATAGAAAACCTCTGAAAGAAGTGATTCTGTCCTCTTGGATGCGTGACGTGTCCGAGACAGAAAATGTTGGACGTTACTGGTGGGGTATTCTAGAACTTGAAACGAACAATTTCTGAGAAAAGAAAATTAGGGTCCCATTACCTAGTTACTAAAAAGGAAGATGTTTCAATGGAAGGAAGGCCCTAAAAGCAAACTCCTGACATATTCAATGATAAAACAGGAAGCTATCCAAACACATAAATGCGTTTTAACAAGGCATTCTACCACTAAACGTTTTTAGTTAAGGTCTCATTATCAGGCTGCATAGGGCTGAGGGAGCTGTAGATACTATACTATTCCTCAGATGGTTGACTTTTTTTTTTTTTAATTACTTCAAGGAAGCCATGAAGACTGGCTTGCCAAATTTCTACCTTCCTCAAAGCTCACAAGGATCATTAACTTACTGGGTGATAGAATCAGAATATTTCCAAAAAGATTTCAATAAGTTAAAATGATGGGATGAAAAAAGGAAGATTAAAGTTTTAAAAGTAAATGTAAATTCCTTCACTCGGATTCAAAAACAGCATATTTGGCAGTGCAGAATTTGGAAGACTTGACCTAGGAGAGTGTCAGGTGAATCAGGTTTAAGAAATCCTCTATGAGCACTTGTTCTATTTAACGTTTTTATCCTTTTCAATTTCTATGTCTCCAAGAGTCTATGAATCATTTTGTCTTTAAATGCTGTGTCTGGAGAGAAGAAGTGGAGGGCAATAGCCCATGTGAAATTGGACGCGTTCAGAAAGTTCCACTTTGGACGGAATCATGTTGAAACTTCTTGATCATGAGTTTACACTGATGGCAGTTTAAGTTAACGCCACCCCACACCATAACATTTTCAAACTTAGAATGTTTGAAAATATTTCCTTTCTAAATATTTTGTTTAGCTATCTGGTTTCAGAAAAAAATAATTAGAATATAGATATCTGCATAATTATATTGGAAAATGCCACGGCCATTAGGATGGCCTTTAGGGACATCTTCAACCTGCAGCTTCAGACAAATCAGGCCTACCATTTGATATGTATCTCCCTCTCTAAGTCTATATAGATGATTCTGAAAGGGTGAGAAAATATTTAGGGTCAAAAGAGAGGATGCTGTAAGGAAATATCTTTCTTCTCTATGTAAGGAAATAGCTTTAGAGTTGTGCTGGCTAAAAAATGCAATCAACAGCGGCTGGGTACCATTATGAAATTAAGGGTTTTAAACTTTTTGACTGACGTTTTGAGTTTTTACAGAGCACTTTGGAATCCACTGCAAGTGGCAGACATAGTACTTATTACCATGTTAAGAATGCTAAAACTTCGCAGATTGGTGTGGTGGGATGAGGGGAAGGCATGCTTTATCTTCTCCCAATAGGGCATTATCTATGATTAGGACCCTGAGCTTGGGCCATGGAGTGGGCTTGTATGTCAACTCCTATGTTTCCTTGAGACTAGCAATCGTTTTATTTATTCTGGTACTCTCTGGAGCATCTAGCAAGGTACACTCACATCATCAGTGCTATGTGAACATCTGTAAATTGATCAGTGTCAAAATATGACCAATTACAGGTTCTCCACACAAATTTGCTTATAAGTAAACACAACACACACCTTGTTAATGTGTAAAATGTTAAATGTGTAAAATCAGCAAAAGCACACCGTGTGCCATAGCTAAGTGTTAATGCAGGGTACATAAGATGTGGTTTTTGTTTGATAATTAAGGGTATTTGGGGGAAAATGAAGAACATTAAAAAATTGTCTTACCATACAGGTATTTTCCTTCATTAAAAGGAAATAAAAATGAGAAATAATTTTTAAAAATGTAAACAACTCACGGTACAAAATAAAATTTGGTTCATTAGACTTAAAAAATTCATACCTGTTATTGTGAAGCCACCTAAAAAAGAAAAAAAGAAAGAAATGTTACAATTCATTTAATTTACACTCTAAATAACAAATACCAGTGACGTCAGACCGCCTGACAGCCCATCCAAAGTACAAAAACTTGCCAAATTGTATATACAATTAAGAAAAATATGAAAACATCCATTCATGACTTAATCGCTAATCATTCTTTTAAGACTATGAGCTTTAGTGCACAAATTTAATTCTTGTGCATACCTAAGAAAGCACTGATTTTGTAAAAGGTCATACTGAACCCAAAGCGGAATGTAAACTATCCAACCTTCACAAAATTATGAGGCCAATGGCTCTAAACAACAATCTTGCTAATAAATCAGCAGAAATAAAAAATAAGTCAGAAAGCTACTGTAGCACCTGACAGAAATGGAAAATAACCTAGAAAAATGGAAAGGAAATGCAAGAAATGAAATGCTTACCAAGCTCATTCAATAACAGGGCTGTGAAGGAAACAGACAAAGACAAACACAGAATAAGAGACCAGATGAATAATGAAAGTAAGAGGAATATCAGCAGAAAGAAATCCAGGCAGATCTGATCACAGTGGTAGGGAGCTGCTACTAAAAAATTGGTGCACGGCAAGTTAATGTGGCATTGGGAGTATTTCCAGATGATCCCAGAACTGATTTCTGCAAACGTGTGTGACTGATTCTATATATATAAACAATTCACTTTATATATTATTTCTTGACATTTAAGAAAACATTTCTGCCATATGTTTACACACAGTCTATACATCTAGTTTGCCAAATATAGTAGAAATATTTTATGAAGTTAATCCTAAACCTTATTTGAGTGAGCCTTCCTCTTGAAATAAGTGCCTGGCAGTCAGTGAATTCAACATATGGAAGTCTTAAAGCATCCAGGATCTCAGGGATTGTACCTTTCAATGGAAACAGAGAAAACATCTTAGGAAATTCCATTTTGGCCGCCCCGCCCATAAGGAGACTTTGGCCCAAGATGAAGTTCTCTCGCTGGAGGCTCTATTTGCATGATATTTTGGTCATCAGGGAATGCTTATGTTTTTTAAATCCTCAAAATCTGCGTCCCAGGAATGACTGCTTATTTGTGTGTCCTTATCTATGACCTGCACGGTATAATCGGACAACCAGATAGCTTCTTGTGGACACATAATTCCACAGAAACTGACAAGACAGGGACAGAAGGTCTGGGGCAGCGGAGGTGGGGTGTGGGGCCTGACATACATAATTTGTCTTTCAGGTTTTGTGCTTTAAACCCAGACTATAGCTGTAGCACTTTATCCTGGTGAAAGCTACCTGACTAAATGTATCAAATAAATTACTTCTAGAGTTGTAGATGGGAAAGTTACAATTACCTTTTCAGGACCAGTTTTCTCTCTACTGGTAGTGGCATTAGAGGATACTTTATAAAACAAGTTAGTAATTTTATTTATGGTGACACAGATCCACTTGTTGGGTGTCAAAAGCAAATAGTGCTATCAAGGAATTTTAATTTACTTTTATATGAAGGCATATTTTACCAAAATGACAATTGAAAGAGCTGTATTCAAGATGCTCTTCCTTGAGATAAAAGGCAGTCCTTTGGAGGAATGCATTCAGAAGTAAGTGCTTTTTCCTGTATGTTAATGAGGCATTTTTGATCCCATCTTTGTAAGAAATCGGCAGTTTTCTAGTGTCTTTTTCTTCCGCCTGCTGTCTGTGGAGCATATTAAATAGGCTGCATTAAAATGGGTCCCCAGTGCTCTTTTCTCCATCATTCCAAAGGCTCCTGTTACCTTTTTGAACATGATTAAGTCAGGACAACTTTGTTTTTGTTTGTTTTCTGATGGACTCTGAGGCCAGTGAGTTCTTACAAAAGTGGGATTAGTTAAATTCCCCCAAATGTTGGGTCTGTATAGGAATTAGTCCTTTGTATTTGACTTTTTTTCTTTACATGTAAAAGTTTACATTTCTTGCAAAGTGGTCACCTAATCATCTATACTGCCTTCATCAATGGTTTAAATGCAATTAATAAGCGCTATTAATAGGTACTATGCTCATTTTATATATATATAATTAAGTGTATACCATTGCTTTTAAAATGACCACTAGGGCTTCCCTGGTGGTGCAGTGGTTGGGAGTCCACCTGCCGATGCAGGGGTCACGGGTTCGTGCCCCGGTCCGGGAGGATCCCACATGCCGCGGAGCAGCTGGGCCCGTGAGCCACGGCCGCTGAGCCTGTGCTTCCGGAGCCTGTGCTCCGCAACGGGAGAGGCCACAGCAGTGAGAGGCCCGCGTACCGCAAAAAACAAAAACAAACAAACAAAATAAAATGACCACTATTAGAGGGTAATTATGGGACGCCCTCGGAATAATTCAGAATAAAAAAACTATTTTTAAAGCTGATATAAAATTCCTGTCTTTCCTTCTCAAATATAGGTCATATAAAATAGATATAAAATCAAAGACAGCAAAAAATATGGCTTCTTTCTTCAAATAGTTTCTAAAAATATAAACACAAAAATCTAATTATAAGGATACTGCTGTTTATTTTTTATTTTTAGAAAAAGATTCTATATGTTAGAAATGTGTCAATTCTACAAGAATCAAAAGATTTTGAAGCATAAGGCAGGATCGGCCTTAAGTAAGGGCTAAGTTCTTACTGAACTACCATATCCTTCCTACTAAAGAAAATTGATATGACCATGGTTTCATATATATGGTCTCTTTTAAATATCATATCTGATGATATGAAAAATATTTTGCCAAAATGAACACTAGGATATTGATGCCACTACTCTTTAAGGATCTTTGTTCTAAGTTTTTTTTTTTTTTTAAACTGGCTTCTCTAAATTAGACTAATTATTGAATTCTTCTGAAATTTCCTATTAGTTGCCATTAGACCCATCTACCATGACTAATAGGCATTAAGTAGTCTCCATCACTAACATTTTAGGGGATATTTAATAGCTGGAATCAAATTTTAGAATGATTCCCGAATAGTGAAAAACTAAACCCAGAAATCATTCTTTTATGTCATCCCTTCTGAATTACAGAAATCTCTTCCAGTATTTCTGGAATCTGGTATCAATCAAGGTGAGCTGGCATTTTCTGAAGAAAAGGGGCATTGTTTGGTGCATTTGTGAATATGGGCAGGAAAATGAAATGGCTAAAGCTTCAAAGGAGAGGAAGTATAGTACTTGGAAGCCGAGGAAGAGGAGAGAGTTAAGTGTGAGAGTAGGAGACACAGAGAGAAGAGTACAATTTCTCGCTGGTATGTCTTTGTATACTCTCACACCTTTCATTCCTCTTCTTATCCATTTTGGTTCCTCAAGCACAAGGGAGAAACTGCACTCTTTCTCATATTCCTCACGGTCAAATATTCTAATGGTAATGATCTTCCTGTGGGAACACAAGACAAAGGCAAAACAAATGGTTGGAGTCACACGCTCATGCTAGGTGTTCACCAAGCAGCATGTTACTGTGATGTTATGGAAGGAGAACTGGCCACACATGGACCTCCAGGAGTATGTAAAAGGGCATCCAGGTACTCCCAGCTGGCCCCGTTAAGTTTCCTCTGCCAATCCATCATTTTTACAAATTCTTCCTGCTTCAGTGAGCAGTCAGGAGGTATCCCAAATTAGGAAGAGAAATCAGAAAGTCGGCTTCATGTGGGTGCAGGAAGCATCAGCACCAACTTTCCCAGGCTCGATTGCACTGACAATGAGTAGCTCAGACTGCCATGTGCAGAGTGGCCCAAACTGGCTGATGGAGCTCCAGGCTGGGCTCCCTGTGGCCCCAGAGGAGATCTATGCCCCGTTACATAGGTGGAGGGATGTGTGCATTGTAAGTCACGTTCTGAAGAGTGCAGGCATCCAGGGGTGGCACAGGCCAGCGGAAGCTGTTGGGCTCAGCCCTGGAGCAGTTCCCCCACCTTTCTTCTCACTCATCTCCACCAAGCGGGGCTCGCCAATCTCAAGGAGGAAGGTCTTGTTTTTCTCATATTCCTCATCATCAATTACCTTGACTGATATTGTTTTGCTGAAACAGAGAAGAATAGAAATTGACGAACAAGGGGAATAGGAAATAGGAGAGAAGGAACATAGAGAAGAGGAAAGCAAGGTTAAAGAGTGGCACTTCCAGACAAATGGCAACTGAGAAACTTCTGGACCGTGAGACTGTCCTTCCAGAATGGGTGTGGGATGGGTCTGAGAGAGTGGAAAGGTCACCCAATGCACAGCTGCCCTGCCCAGGACCACAGACTTGTTTCAGCCAAAATACAGCATTCATACTACTAGGTTTATCATCATCATGGGAAGCAGAAAGACACAGATCACAGTAATAAGAAAAGAACAATATATTTATTTAGTAAATGCCTTAACCACAGGATTGTCTGAGTCGTGCTCTGGAATTCAACCCTTTGAAACAAATCAGTAAACCACATCAAAATATGAACAAAGGTTATATCTGAGTAACAGGCATAAGGGTAATTTTTGGGGGCCTTCATTCTGCTTCACTGTATTTCCAAACATAACATTTTTACCATAAAATGTTATTAAAATAATAAATGCATAAGAGCATCACAGAATAAAATAAAAGTCTTTTATCTTACCCCACCCAATGTCCTAGACTCAAACTCTTTTTCAGGTGAGTCAGATTTTCCACCTAGATCACAAGGGGAAGTTGTTCATGTTTTGTTTGTCTTTCTAAAGATGGAAGCCTCCTAAGGTGGGGGTGGGGAGTCATGATGTTCTAGTTATTTTCTTCCCTCCCAAAGCTGACCTTCAACTTTGACAAAATATACTCTACCCTACTTTCAAACTCCACCGATACACCAAGGCATTTCGTTAAGAATTCTTCCTGTAATGCATCCTTTAGAGCTTCTTGCCTTATCCTGTGGTTGTGATTGACAGGTAGGTAGGACAAATGCAAATATTATGCAAATCTCAACTCCCCACAAGACTTGATGACTCTGAAAAGAAATTTAATGTTACCTTCTAATTAATAAGGGCTTAATCACTTCATGTATTACAACTTATTCAGAGCCCCCAAACACTTGTTTGTCCTTGAAAATATTTTTTTTGTTCAGTACCATTGGCCAAGAACATTTCTGACTAAAGGTTTTGTTTTGTTTTTTTTTTGCGGTACGCGGTCCCCTCACTCTTGTGGCCTCTCCCGTTGCGGAGCACAGGCTCCGGACGCGCAGGCTCAGCGGCCATGGCTCACGGGCCCAGCCGCTCCGCGGCAGGTGGGATCCTCCCCGACCGGGGCACGAACCCGCGTCCCCTGCATGGGCAGGTGGACTCTCAACCACTGCGCCACCAGGGAAGCCCTGACTAAAGGTTTTAAAACAATGACTTCATAAAGACACACAGTCTTAATGTCATGGACATTATTTAGTTTTGGTGGAATTTTCTAGGTTTCTGGAAGGAAATTAGTCTATAACCTTTTTTTTTTCAATATTGATCAAAGCCCTCAAGTTTCATGTAGACCTATGCAAGCCAAAGAGCACCAGTCTTCTTTTCTTGTATGAAGGAGAATAAAGGTAGAAGTTGCTTTTAATTCTCTGAATTTCCCAGCCCCTAATGCTAAGTGAGATCAAATGATTGCTTCTGATTCTTGGGAGCCTCATAACCTCCTCGCTGCTCCTCAGCTAAAGAACATCCCTCATAGCGCTCACATCCCCATTTCTCACTACTAAGGAGTTGGAGTGCATGACGGTGCCTTTCTATCTCAGCTCTGTCCTCAAAGGCCAGATGAGCAGCTGTCAATGGCTAAAGCAATAATCATTTTTTAAGAGCAATTAGATATTTACAAAACTACCAACAGTACGACAAAAGTCCAACCACATGTGTATAGTGAACAGTTCCTGTCTAACTTCTAGAACTATTTTTCTGGAATTCACCCATTTACTTTATATATACATATATATATAAGTACCCTGGTGTAGTCAGGGCAGGCTGTATATATATATATATATATATATACAGCCTGCCCTGACTACACCAGGATATCTGATCATTCCTCAATATCCAAAAAACACAAAATGTTAGAGAAAGCACAAGAAGATGTAAGAAATGATGATATGTGTGTTTTTAATTTCAGAACTGAATTTGATGTTATAAGTGAGATCAAATTTACTCTTCAAAAACCTGCCAAACGTCTACCCTTTTTGTCATCCAACTTATGTGTTTTAGGTATTAATTTCCATCTTACTGCCTTGTAATCATAAATTATACTTGTACATCTCTGCTAAAGTCACCAGCATAATATGACCATGGGTGGGAAAACATTGGTGGGCATTAGAAGGGCCCTGCTATCGTCTTCTGGCCCCAGTGGCCCCAAATTCATTACCAAGGCACTTCATGGTAGGGTACATGTTTCAATGCTCTTGCATATATTACTTAAAAACATTTGACTTATCTTTTTCCATCTTGTACTTCCAATCTATCTCATGTCTCATATTTTATTAGATTGTAGAAATAAAGAAAACACAGTGGAGATGGTTGTAGTAGTCTTGCTAATAGGGTGAGCATCTGTTTAGGAAAGGCTCCCAGTTTCATTCCCAAAGGGCAACATGACCACTTATTCACAAATAAATAGAAAAACCCAAATAACATAGTGTTTCTTATCCTTGGTGAATTTAATCTGCTATTGCTATGATAGGTTTATTTTCTACACTCTGAGTAGCTGATGAATGTGAGAAATATAGGGTCCCACCCAATTTGTTTGTATAATAAAATAAGCACATAAAATTTATCAGTAGACTATCGCTATTCACTGGGATCATAATCCTTAGAAAACGTTTCAGTACTGGATAACTATGACACTGGAAATTCGACTTACGAAGGGAAAGAAAACAGTACTTCCGTAGGTACTTGGCAAAGATGCCTAAAATGAATGGGATTTGCATAATGGCATATTATTTCAAAATCATTAGTAATACAATCAGTAGTGCCCTTGACAGGAGGAGCCATTAAATTATATATTGAGTTTGCTTCTCTTGCACAGTAAAGCTATTAATAGGAAACTTGATTATTAAAGGACAATTCAGTCAATTTAAAGAGGCAAGATAAAGTCAATCATTATGAATTAGCCCTCTGAATCAAGAGGCAAAAATCAGAAGGGGCTGGTAATGTTCACTTTTTGCTCCAGAACAGAACTATTCCTCCCCTTAGCAAAGGTGGAGAATGTGAAATTAACCTATATAAATTTTAAAGGATCATATCCTTGTGATGTCTTTTGCTCACTTTCCAGAGCCTAACTAATACAGGAAAGGGACTGTCATTGCTTCTTCCATCACTGGGGATGTTACAGGAGATGGAGTTTATCTGGTGAAGAACCCAGTTCCACTAGCTTGATAATCAGCAGAAGTATACCTCTCTGTTCCTCACAGTTCTGCAGTGGAAATTATATCTCAAGGACTGAAGGGATCTTAAAGGTCCTCCAGTTTGCCCCCCATTGCCACACCGATTCCCACATTCACAGGGCTTCTGCACTGTCCCAAAGACTCCCTCTCTCTGAGAACACAGATTCATGTTGTGTTGTACTTTGTTTCCATTTACCAATGGGAAGCAGTCAGATAGCTGTTGTCCTTTCTTTTTTTTTAATTGAAGTATAGTTAATTTACAATGTTGTGTTAGTTTCAAGTGTACAGCAAAGTGATTCAGTTATACATATATACATATATATATTCTTTTTCAGATCCTTATATATATGTGTGTGTGTATATACATATATATATAAACATGTTCTTTTTCAGATTCTTTTCCATTATAGGTTATTACAAGATATTGGGTATAGTTCCCTGTGCAATACAGTAGTGTTGTTATTTCTTTAAATTAACAGGTTAACCAAAACAAGATTGGAATAGTCAGGCAGACCCAGCCCTTCATCTAACAACAACCCCTGCACTATTATTACACTGATAAGGAACAGATAGAAAACTGTGTCATGCAATTTTCAGCTACTGTAATTATGATGAAGAAGGTAAGGAGAATTTCTCACTTGATCTTTTTTACATCACTTTAAAGTTGAAGAGTATACTATAACAATTATGTTTCCTAGAAACTAGCAACGAGTTACAAATCTCATGATAACATTAAAACATTAAATAATTTGTCAGGATGGCCAAAATTTTTATGGATATACATTTTGGATCCACTTCTAGAAAAAAAAAGGCATTTGGTTAAGAAAGATCAATTTATTTAGTGGAAAAATACAGGTTGTTCCTTTCGATTTTTGCAGTGCCTTTCCTTTGATGATACTAAGCCCACATCTATACTTTATTTCCAAGTCTCTCTCTTATCTGATGGGTCTCAAAGGACCAAACATCTTTAAACATTCTAGTAAGGAGCTCTTATATCAGGTGGTGACTCAGGTAAACTGTGAGAAAGAAGAGAAAGACATGGTGTTACTAGTGGGAGCTAAAAAAGAAAGTCTCTTCAAAATACATTCTAATCTCTCATTATTAAGCCAAAGTCCTATCAGTCTCTTCAAATTTCAGCCTCAATTAGTCCTCTGTGGTTTCTTTTCCCTAAGACCGCTCTTGATATTGGGAGAAGTGAGGAAAAGAGTTGGAGGATGAAAAAGAAGAGACTCTTTCTAAATCCTCATAAAATCAAAAAGATTTTAGTGAGGATTTCACACCTGTAGATGCTACAATGTCTCTTTTAAAATTTATTTTATTTTTAAGATTTAGCCTCTTTTTAGGCGTACTCAGGGGTCAATGGACTGATGGGCATTTTGCATTTTTTAGTTCACCAATCAATCTTCATAGCAGCCCTGGGAGCGACTTCTACAACTTGTACAATTCAGAGGAAACAATGACTCAGAGAAGTTAAGTAACTTCCAAGGTCACAGAGTGAGACTCCTGTAACTGGCTCCAAAGACCAACATCTTTCAGTTATGTGACCCACGCAGTCCGTATTCATTCAGCTGTGCAGTAGTTTTATGACCGCTTTAAAAGATCTGAATCATTATTTTGAAGTCATATACAGGTTTATTGTTTAATCTTTATGTTAACAAAGACTACCTGGATG